CTGCTGCTGCTGCTGCGGCTCCAGCATCTCGCGGCGGCGGCAGAGCTGCTGCCCGGCGGCCAAGGTGCGTGTTGCTGGTCCCTGGCCCGGCTCCGCGCCGCCCTAGCCGCCAACAAAGCGCGGCCCGGCGGCCAGGGGAGTCGGGAGCAGGTTGCGGCGGGGTACTCGAGCCCGGGGCAGACAGGGGCGCCCGGGCGAACAGGCTCTTAGGGACCCTGTTGTCCCCAAATTGGCCATTGGCCCCCCGCCCCTGCGGCTCCCAGAATTGAGGGCTTTGCCTCCTGGGTTCTGGTCTTTGGAGGATGGATGAAAGGGGGGCCTGGACGGCCGGGAACTTTGCGGGGGGCAGGGGCGATTCATGGTCTCGGAAGAGCTGTGTGATCCTCGCGGTTGGGGTTTATTTGACACGCGCGCTCCGCCGCTGCAATGGGCCGGGCGGCTTCTCTGCCTGACAATGCGATTCGGAGACCCTGGCGCGCAGCGGAGAGTGGGGCTGCCTCCAGGCGGATATGCTAGCGGCGCGCGTGTGCTGGGGGCTCCCCGTAGGCTGTGTCGGCTTGGATCTCTGACTGTGGGTCTTATGTGCGGTAAGTGTCTGAATGGAGGGTATACCCAAGTCCTGCGACACCCACTGTAAGTATGCACCTGGTCTCTGCCAGCCACGGAGCGGCCCGCCATCTGAGGAACGCTTACCATCCTGCTTTTTCTCCAGATCGAGTGTGCCCGATGCCCCCGGGGTCTTCAGCATTGCCCCGTTCCTGGACCCCAGCAGACCCTTCCCGTGTGGCCAGGGCTACAGGGAGGGGAGTGGGGCTCGAGTCTGCTGTTCTAGCTTACGCTCCCTTCACCCGGCAGGGACTGTCAAGGAGTGCGAAGAGGAGCAGTTCCGGTGCCGGAACGAGCGCTGCATCCCCTCGGTGTGGAGATGTGACGAGGACGACGACTGCTCGGACAACAGCGACGAGGATGACTGCCGTGAGTGGCGGGCCAGAGCGCTCAGACTCAGGGCGGGAGGGAAGAGTGGGGGCGCCATGCTCCGGGAGCACGTGGCTGCAGCCGCGGCGGGGCCGCCTGCACGAGCCACGCCGCTGGAGCCCCGCAACGGGAAAACCGCTCCCCAAGGGAGACACTTCCCTTGGGGCCAGGTGCTGCTAACCACTGGAGGGAACAGGGCAGGGGCGTGTCCTCAAGGACAGGGGACGGAGCCCAGGCCGGTGTGCTGGGGGAGGAGGGCGTGCCACGCTGGGGCTGCTGGGCCGGAACTGTGCACGCGGACGAGGCAGTCCCTGCAAAAGTCTAGCTTCCCTGATACCGCCCCCTCCGACTGCCGCTCGGCCCCGCGGGACGCGCGCGTGTTTCAAAGTTATACACAGCTCCTGGCCGCACTGCGCTCCTTCTTTTGCTCGGTTTTTGTGAATGAATAGGCTCCCCGGGGCCCCTGATTGGCTAGGAGAGGACCACCCCATAGGCCCCTTGTGTCCGGAGCGGCCAATCGTGGGGCGGGAGGAAGTGTAGTATTTGGATGTCCTGGGAGCCGGGGCTCTGCCCTGGCCCCGTCCCGGCCACACCCCCGCGCGCATCCTCTGGGTGGTAGGGTCAGGCTTGGCCCGGGCGCGGTCGCTCGCTGTTTTTCTGCCTAGTCACGGTGAAGACCTTTTTGAACCAGGGTGGTTGGAGACGGCACTCTCCTGCCAGCCTGGCCCGACTGTGAGTCATGGGGCACAACAGGAAGGAGGGGACGAAGAGTACGTGTTTGTTTCCTGGAAGGGGCCCAAGGACCCCGAGGCCCACGTGAACCCCTGGCGAGTGGAGGTGACTGGCTGTCTTTGCTGAGCACGGTGTTTGCATACCACAAGCGCTACTGATTTTAAAGTTCCTCCCGCAGGTTTCTGGTGTCCGTGGGGTCGACAGCTAGTCAGCAGGCAATTGCCACCGCCAGAGGAATGTAGTTCCAGGAACCAAAAAACAGCCTCCTAGGGATAGTCACAGGCAGTCATTCATTCCTCATTACTGAGCATTAGCTGTGTGCCATGAATGGGGGCACTCTCCAGACCAGGCTAGCCCTCGGGTGTAGCAAGGTCTGAGGGGAGAGGGCAAGGTGGACAGACCCATTGCTCACACCCTGTGTAGGAAGGGAGGACTCTTGGTCAGGCACCTTCTCTGTTGAGTCCTTGAGTTTTTTGACTGCCACTCAGCCTTCCCTGTTCGTTCTCAGACTTAACCCAAAGTTAGCTCTGTGACTTGGGCACAGAGTTCTTCCTGTCTCCATTTCCTCACCTGACCACTTAGGCTAATGATTACTGCCCTGGCAACCTCACAGGACTGTTCTGAGGACGAGTTCTAGATATGTAATTGGAAGTAATGAGACTCACTTGTGCTGACCACTGACTATGCCAAACACTGTGGTAAGTGCCTATCTTCCATAAACCCCTTTCGAGTTCACAACAGTCCTGTTTAACAGACCCAAGATCAGAGACACCAAGTGGCTCCTTGCTCTGCCCCTAGTCAGTTGCCAAGTAGGAGCTTGCACTTAAGCATTTGACTCCAGAGTTCTTAGCCTTATCATGATGCTGGGTGTCACCCAGTGTTGGTGAAGTTAGGAAAATAACTGTTTCTGGGTAGAACATGATGAGTTTTGTTGCTGGGAACCATTCTTCTGTGGCTCCCTTGCAGTGGGTGTGGTGAGGAGGAGGAAGGGAAACAGAAACTGCATTTGGGGGCTGGCTATACCTTATCTCGCTGGCTCTTTATACCAACAGTCCTGTGAGGGCAACTGTAAAGAGCAGAAGCTCTTCTTGCTTGGTAGACAAGGGTGCTTGCTTGGAGAAGTGATTTGCCTAAGGTCACACAACTCAGATGACAGAACTTGGTCTGGCTCTCTACCTGCCTTCAAGTTCAAGGGCACAGTCTGCTGTGATCGAGCGTGATACAGTGTGGTCTATGAGCTTGGAAGCCATACTCTTATCAGGCGTGTCCAACCATTTTTTCTGTCACACATTGTATGGAGAAGAGTTGTCTTGGACTACACATTAAATCCACAAACACGACATTTGATGAACAAAAAAAAGGTTGTTGCCTACTTTTTATGATATAGGGGACCACAGATAAGCAAAACACTCCTCAAATAATCTATGTTTGGTCTGCGGGCCACTGGTTGGACACCCCTGCATGTTGGGCTGTCTCATTTCATCTCCATGTGAGGCTTTGGGCAAGATGGAGGTACGAAGTAGTTGAGTGGCTGGGTGGCTCCAGTGAGAGTCAGGAGAGCTCCCATAGCCAGGTGGGGCTCCTGCTCTGGTTCTGAGATGGATGATGTAGGATCATAGGAAGAGAGTCATTGACCAAAAGCAAATGACGCCAAGGGCTGTGAGTGGGAAGGGTGTTACTTTGTTGATGGTATCAAATATCAATTGTACATGGCTTGACTTTCCTGAGCATGTTTCCTTATTGCTAAACACAGCTAGCTGTCCCTCTCCGTCAGTGGTTAAATCCCTAGATGGTCTTCACACAGGGCTAATGAGAAGGGAATGGGGGGGCTCTTTCCATCTATGTGGGCTTTAGAAATGGACTCCTTGTAGTCACAAAGAGAAACTGAAGAAATGGGGTGAGGTTTGGGGTGGCTGTGTTGGTGCCAGTGTTCTTTCCTCAGCCCTTCCTTTCCCCTCTGAAGAATTCTCCCCACCTCCCTGTTCCAGGCCACCTGCCCAGATTGCATTTCTTTGAACTCTTCTCCCCTTGAGCCATTGGCTTCACCCTGGGCAGCCTCCCTGACTTAGATCTGACCACCTCCTTTGGCACTCCACCCTGCAAGAGGCCTGAGCTGCCCCACCTCTGTACCTGGGCCTGCAAAATGGGGTTGGAGTTTGTAGATAAAATTTGTGCGAGGAAAAATGAGCCTGAGCTCCCAAAGGGTCATAATGCTGCCCCTGAGTACCAAGAGGCTTATGGAGGCCAGAGAGAGGGAGCTTTTATTTTGAGGAAGCCAAGGAAGACTTCCTGGAGGAGGAGACAACTGAGCTAGGCCTTGAAAGATGGTAACTAATACCATTCTCTCAGGGCTTATTATTTTAAAGTAGATAGTATGTCTCTATATTATAGAGGACACTGAGGGTCAGAGAAGCTTCGGTCACTGAGTGGGTGACACTGAGGGTCAGAGAAGCAAAGTGACTGCCCCAGACTCACGGAGCTCCTCAGGGTTGGAGCTGGAACTCACATTAACGCCTTCTAAGTCCTGATCCTCATCCATAGGGGGTGGGACTTGGCCCTTGGGAGGCTCAGAGCTTGTGGGATAGAGAAGGGAAAAGCTCATGGGGTTTTAGTTCCCTGCTCAATGGACCTTCAAAGTGGAGGAAGGAGCTGGAAGCCAAAGGGCCAGGCCCAAGGAAGCCCAGGGGCAGCCTGGCCAGGGGAAGTCAGTGGGATTCCAGGCTGTGGAGCTGAGTCACGTAGGCCAGCTGGCTCCCTGGCCTCAGTTTCCTGTTGCTCTCAAGTGTCTAGGGGCAGAGGCAGGGACTCTAGTCTCTGGCCAGACCTTTACTCCCATAGTAACAGCAGTAGCAAGACCCACTAACACTTTCTGAGCTCTTGCTTGGACCTGGCACTGTGCTACATTTTACATGCATCACTTTGTGTTCTTCTATAAAATGAGGCAACTCTATGAAGTATCTGGACTATTCCCATTTAATAAAGGCCCAGAATGGTTAAGTAACCAGCCCAAAGGTATATGGTTTTTAAGTGAAACTGCTGGGGGGTGAATGTAGATACCCAGCTGTGGAACCTATGCCATCTCAAGTATTGGCTGGTGACCTCGGGCAGGTCTTCCCCAGGCCTTCTTCCCCACCTTGAGACATCTTAAGGCTCCTCTGCCCTTCCCCCCACCCTTCCCCCTCTGTGAAGAATTCTGTACTTCTAGGCAGCAGCCTTGTAAATAATTAAAACTCTGGCTGGTGCAGTAGCTGATATCTGGCCTTTAGTGTGCAGCTGGACCCACACCCCCGACACCCACCACAGCTTCATCTCCTTTTGGGGATGGAGTTGTCTGACAGACAGTGCTGCTCTTCTCAGAACCTCAGTGTCCTTAGCCCTCCAGGCACCTCCACCATTCAGAGCCTCTCCTGGGGCTCCCTGGTACCCAGAGGATAAAGTCAGCTTGGACTCTTCTGCATTTGGCCCTCTGTGACTGGCTCCTGTCGCCTACTCCCCTCCAGCCTCTTCCTGTGAGCATGGGACACCAAACTTCAGCATCTGTCACATTCCTGTTGCTTCTCACCTCCAAGCCTTTGCTAGTGCCCATCTATCTGGCTAGGACACTCTTTCTGCACCCTCACTGGCTACATCCTTCTTTTCATCTTAGAAGGTTCAGTGCAGGTGTCACCTTCTCCAGGAAGCCTTCCCTGACACCTCCCTCTCCCCGGGCTGAGATATAGGAATTGATATAAGAGACTTTAGGACCCAAATCAAAATCACAACACACCTGGTTTTACATCCCAGCTGTCACCTCCTGGCCTTGGAAGATGATAATAGTCCTTCCTTCCCAGAGAAGTTGTGAGGATGAGATGAGGTCCTATGCCGTGTGAGTAATAGGTGCTCAGGGAATGGCAGTGGGTATGATTGTTCTTGGAGGAGTTCTACTGAGCTCTCTAGGTACATGACTCTGGTCTCTGCAGACCACCCAGGACCCTCTCCTTTCCCTGCTCCAATCTGCTTAGCCAGATGTTGTCTGAGACTCCTGCAGCTGGTGCTCACCTTAGCCAGTGCGTTCCCCAGCCACAGAGGAGGTGGCCTCAAGGCTCCCCAAGATGGATCTGGAGGTGGCAGAAGCTGCCCAAAGGGACTGGGAGAAGAAATGAGTCTAACAGGCCAGGGGCTGGCTTCCCTCAGGCTGTGTGCTTATCTTGGAGGCTGTCCCAGGGAAGGAGAGGAAGGCCTATAACCCCTAAGGCTCTGCCCAGCAGTTCCCATGTTTCTCTTTCCTC